ATTGTCCAAACTAAGATAAAATTACAATTCCCAGAATTGTACATTATCAATTAAATTCTTAATTAAAAACTAGCATGGATTGTAACTGATAAAGCAATCTTAATCTTTAACAGAAAGTATATCAGGACACATTTATATAAGATTTTCAACTTTTAAAATTCTAAAGCTAAGCATAATGATAACATAAAGCACTGTGAAGTTTGGTTTCAGTCACCATTTTGGCATTCACATGCATTTACATCAGGAGTTTCTCGACAAGCCCTGACCTAGATCTAGACAAAAGCACAGATCCCGTGACTCCATATATGGTATGTCACACGGCTTTTTTGACACGGGTTTCCAAAAATCCGTGTCTCCATATATGGAAAAGGACACGGGTTTCAGACACGGGTTTAAAGAATCCGTGAGTCCATATATGGAAACAAGCACGGCTTTCCGACACGGATTTTGTAAAACCGTGTGATCTCATTTAAATAATTCGGCCAATATCCCGTGCCGTGTCCGTGCCTCGACCACTTTCAGGCACGGCTTTCCATACATACTTTACATAGGAGCAGGAATTTTATAAGCACGGGTTTCTGGAACGGAATCCGTGCCTAAGCCGTGTCTAAGCCGCCCGGACTGTTTCGTACGTGGTTGTACCAAAACAATACATTTTCACAATACTGTCTTACTATAGTATCAGTTATAATTTGGACTTAGGTTGAATTCGCCAATATATCATACTTGCGAAGTTGTGTGCATCACAATAACAGTCGCCGCTCCAGCTACTTTCGTTATTTCTAACCAATGAAAATTGTCCTTACTTTCTTATAAAACTGTTGCGTCATATTACCCATAATGCAATATTATTGCACGCATCACTAGATTGTAGAACACATATGGCACGCCAAATTCACAAAAATGAGCTAATCATAGTTTCACAATCGATAAACTACGTTTATCGCTAGTAAACTATAGTTTACGGACTGTAAACTATAGTTAACAACGTTAATCTATATTTTACATCTGTAAACCATAGTTAACGCGATAATCCATGTTTCACAACCGTAAACTATACTTAAAACTGGAAACAATCATTTGCGATTGCAAAACATAGATTATCTGATAAATACAGTTTCATGATTGCAAACTATGGTTTACAACTCTTCACTATAGTTAATGATCGTAAACTATAGTTTACAGACGTGAATCTATGTTTAACAACAAAATCTATTGTTAACGTTTTATTACAGACAGATAAACTTAGATTAGCATTCGTAAACTATAGTTAACAACCGTTATATAGTTTTACAAATGAAAGCTATACTTAACGAATCGTTAACTATAGTTTACGGTTTGTAAACTATTGTTTACAGTCGATAAACCTAGTTTATCAATTGTGAAACTATGTTTAGCAAGCCAAATCTACAAAAAATAGCTAATCATAGTTTAACTATAGTTTAAGGACTGTAAAGTATAGTTAACAACGTTAATCTATATTTCACATCTGTAAACCATAGTTAACGCGATAATCTATGTTTCACAACCGTTAACTATACTCACTCACTCACTCACTCGGTCGTCCTTAGACGACCAACGACATGACCACTCCAGTTCTTCCTGTCAGCCATTAGGGAAGCTAGCTCATTTGTATCCCTTGTCTTTGTGTCACGCTTTAGTGTGTCTAAAAACGTGGCCTTGGGTCTACCTCTCCTACGGCGTCCCTGATTTGGCTCCCACAGTACCAAAGATTGAGCGCTGAGCTCTGGATGACGGAAGCAATGCCCAGCTAGCTGCAATCTCCTGGAGGCTATCTTATCACTGACCTTTGGGAGGTTACCATATAGGAACTCGTTGGGAATCTGGCTTGACCAGTGAATGTCTAGAACCTTACGGAGCATGCGTGTGTAGGTTACGTCTAGCGACTTCTCCTGGGCTATTGTCAGGGTCCAGCTCTCACAGCCATACAGTAGAATTGACTCGATTGTGGCTATGAAGAAACGCAGCTTGAGATCACTTCACATTGTTGAGCGCCATATTCTGGACATCTTGTTCAGAGCCTGCCAGGCTAGAGCTTTCCGGACAGCTATGTCCTTTTCTGAACTTTCAACCCAGGAACCAAGATATTTAAAATCTTCTACCCATTCGATTTCAGTGCCATCCAAGGTTTTGAGTGGATAAACTATACTTAACACCAAAAATAATCATTTGCGATCGCAAAACATAGATTATCTGATAAATACAGTTTCACGATTTGTAAACTATGGTTTACAACTCTTAACTATATTTAACGATCGTAAACTATAGTTTACAGACGTGAATCTATATTTAACAACAAAATCTATTGTTAACGTTTTATTACAGACAGATAAACTTAGATTAGCATTCGTAAACTATAGTTAACAACTGTTAAATATAGTTTTACAAATGAAAACTATTCTTAACGAATCGTTAACTATAGTTTACGGTTTGTTAACTATAGTTTACAGTTGATTAACCTAGTTTATCAATTGTGAAACTAGGTTTAGCTCATTTTTGTGAATTTGGCGTGCCATAAACACACATCACAAGATTTCGAATATACATCACAAGATTATCGAACAAACATCACAGGATTATTGAACATACATCACAAGATTTCGAATATACATCACAAGATATTGAATATAAATCACAAGATTTTGAACATATATCACAAGATTATAGAATATACATCACAAGATCTCGAATATACATCACAAGATAACAGAATATACATCACAAGATCTCGAATATACATCACAAGATATTGAACATACATCACAAGATTATAGAATATGCATCACAAGATTTCGAAAATACATCACAAGATATTGAACATACATCACAAGATTATCGAATATAGCAACGTTTGACATGCCATAACCGTGTGCTCCTAACATGTTCTTTCACTGTTTCCACAACAAAACATTTCCTTATAATTGTTTTAATACCCCCCGGGCGTTGAAATTTAGATCATCAAAAATTTCGCCTGTTTATACTGCCATTTCGGTTTGCAAGATAATTCAGTCCAACGCACTTCGTACAGATGTAAACTACGAAAGTTATTGATAGAGGAGTAAGGACTTTATTGAAATCTAGCTTTTTGCAATTGAGGTAAGAATTTGGAAGAATTAATCCAGAACCGAGCGCACTTTTTTGTGCGCAATAACAGTTTTTTCAATGGGTGGCACTAGCTCTCCGGTCTATCAATATATTTTTTTTTGGAGAGCTACAGTTCTGCAGCTATTATCAACCCTGTATTCCCGTGATGGATGCATTTGGGTACATGTACATGTATTTCCCATTTTGTTTTCAATGACTGCATGCTCAGCTGATTCTACATGTACATCAGGACCTGATTCTATTGTCCCTTGAGCTAAATCAATAAAATAAAATTATAGAACCAATCTTTGGGGATCCTTTTAGTTTGAAAACACACGTTTTCATCTTAAAAACTATCTTAATATTCCTTTTATGCTTTAAAATGTTCGCTAATCTTGTCCCATTCAGAATAGCTTGTATGTACGTCATTTTTAGGTCACCTGAGTAAACTCAGGTGACCTATTGCTATCCGTTTTCGTCCGTTGTCGTGTGTTGTGCGTCGTGCGTTAACATTTGAACATTTTCAGCTTCTTCTCTGCAACCACTGAACCAATTTCAATCAAATTTGGCACAAAGCATCTATGGGTAAAGGGGAACAAAATTTGTGAATTTCATGATCCCTGCCCCCCTGGGGCCTGAGGGATGGGGCCAAAACCACTAAAATTAATGCAATCTTTAAAAATCTTCTTCTTTACTCCTGGACATCAAGCAGTCAAACTGTTTGCATGATTGTAATCAGCATTGAGTCCTCTACCAAAATTGTGAAATTCATGGCCCTGGGGTCAGGGGTTCTAGTGTTAGGGCGGGGCTAAATAAGTATATAGTGAAAATGCATTATTTCTTTGAAAATCTTCTTCTCTGCTCCTGGGTATTAAATAAACCAACTAAGTACATAGTTATGATGAGCAAGAATGCCTCTACCAAAATTGTGAATTTTATGGCCCCAGGGTCAGGGTTTCTGGTGTTGAGATTACATAGTGAAAATTCATGAATGAAAATCTTCTTCTCTGCTCCTAGGTATTAAATAAATAAACTAATTACATAATTATGATGAGCAAGAGTACCTCTACCAAAATTTTGAATTTTATGGCCCCAAGGTCAGGGGTTCTGGTGTTAGGACGGGGCTCTATTGATTATATAGTGAAAATACATGAATTCTTTGAAAATCTCCTTCTCTGCCCCTGGGTATTAAATAGACTAACTAAGTGCATAGTTATGATGAGCAAGAGTACCTCCACCAAAATTGTGAATTTTATGGCCCCAGGGTCAGGGGTTCTGGTTTTAGGACTGGGCTCTATTGATTATATAGTGAAAGTACATTAAATCTTTGAAAATTTTCTTCTCTGATCCTGGGTATTAAGCAGATGAACTACCTATATAGTTATGATGAGCAAGGGCCATAATCTTCCAGAATTGTGAATTTCAAGGCCCCAGGGTCAGGGGTACCATAGAGGTGGGGGGGGGGGGGCTGTACTTATATACTGAAAATGAATGAATTGTTTGAAATTTGCTTCTTGGTATTAATCAAATATTTTTGAAAAGCAAGGATGCCTTTTCATAAATTATGCAATGTGTGGATCTAGGCCTAAGGGTCAGGGGTTCATGTGTGGTAGGGGCACTATTGATTATTGCTGAATATTACTGATTAGTTGAAATGCATTTTTTGTTCCCCTACCTTGCCTATGGGTATTAAGTAACTAAACTCAGCAACTGCTAAGTGTATACATGTAGTTATGATGATCAATGGTGCCTCTTTCAAAATTGTGAATGCCATAGATCTGGCTTAAAACATGAATCAAATTCAATCACTGGAAAGTTGTTGCATAATGCTCTGGTGACCTATAAGGCCCATGGGCCTCTTGTATAAAACAATAAAGCGATTAAAGGCTGTTAACCTGTATAACTTAATCCAGTTTCTCCTCTTCTTTTCAATAATCGGGAAACAAACGATATGACAGGCTCTACTAGTCCGCTTAAAACCTAATGCGAAGCGGTAATCCATTGTCTCCAAGAACGCTCAGATACCCGGAAGTTATAAAACGAAAGTGAAAGTAAACGAGACTTACATGGCCTTACAGTTTTGCATTAATTTTAATCAACCCTAATAGAAATTGTAGTTTGTTTTGCTCACAAATTAATTTATTTCACTTATCTATCGAGAAAACTTTAAGAAAAATTGGAAAAACGCATAAAAACTGGGTAGTCCGAATTTTCTTGGTTCCAGTGATAAATCAGTATATTATAGGGAGCATTCATTATTTAATGTTGTAAGAAATTCGAATAGGTGATATGACCCATTCGAATTGGTGATATCACCAATTCAAATTGAATAGCTGATATCACCTATTCGAATAGAAGATATCACCTATTCAGCACGAATAGGTGATATCACTTATTCGAATAGGTGATATCACCTGTTCATTTCCAATAGGTGATATCACCTATTCGAATAGGTGATATCACCTATTTGAATAAGTGATATCACCTATTCGAATAGGTGATATCACTTTTTGGCAGTAAATACCAAAACGGTGCCCCATATATTTGAAATGATTATACATATGTTATCAAGACAACAAATGGCTTTAGTAACATCGAAAATCTCGGTAAAATACACCTCCGGCCGTTTGTTTTCCTGTACTCAGAATGTAAATTCTGTTTTTTTTTTTTATTTATTTTTCAGTTTAAATTATTTGTTAATATCATATGTCTGTTTTTAACATAGAAAAATCATTCATACAGATATATAGAGAAGAACGGAAGACCTTTTTTGTTGCTGTAGCAATAAGAGTTTCTAGTTCTTTTAATCCTCTTTATTTTTATTTAATTGTGAATTATGACTAGTGATATATTTTTGTATGGAGAATACCATAGACAGGACAGTTTAACAAACAATCGATCTAAACACTAGTCCTTTTAGGTCAGTGTGCACCAGCCCGTGAGGGTGACCAATCGTCTTATATATGGAATTGAAATATATCGTTTTACAAACAGCGTGACAGTTTGCTTGATAGGGCGTGCTAAAATTTTGTGTGCTGATTATCATTTTACTCATCCATTGGATGTTTGATTTCAGTGGAATCAATAATAATTTGCATATGAAACTCTATGGAACGCCGTCACTGCCTTATAGCAGAACACTACTATTGCATTGTGTCAACCTTCCATTACATTATGTCAACTCTTTATGACATTAACCCACCCTACTATTGCATTGTGCCAACCTTCCATTACATTATGTCAACTCTTTATGACATTAACCCACACTACTATTGCATTGTGTCAACCTTCCATTACATTATGTCAACTCTTTATGACATTAACCCACCCTACTATTGCATTGTGCCAACCTTCCATTACATTATGTCAACTCTTTATGACATTAACCCACACTACTATTGCATCGTGTTAACTTTCCTTTACATTATATCAACTCTTTATGACATTTACACATACTACAATTTTATTTCGTCAACTTGCATTTCGTTATGTTTACTTTTCATGACAATCTTAGTTTTTATTAACTGATGTGAAAAGCTCTTGCCATACTGTGCGCACTCTTCTACATTATGTCGATTCACTATTACGTTATGCGAACGCGGGTATCCTCGGCCTTTATATGAGCATAACGTATTTTCCGCGTTCCGCAAGCACTAAAATGGCGGGAGAGAAAACTGTCGTAGAAGAGATTCTCAGCGATTTCGGAATGACATCTTTAAATGAAAACTTTAAGCGACAAATGATTGACAATCTTGAAACATGCAAAGCCTTAACACTGCGACTGTGAATTAAAGTCACGTCGAAATTCAATGGTGTTTACTTTAATCTGATAATTAAATACCGGTAAATCAAATATTATAAGTCGTGCAGCAATCATTTTTTTCTTTTTATTTTGAATTTTTTTTATATATATATATAAAAGTCTTAAACTTTGTAGGACATTGCATTAGTTTCACATTAAGTTTAGCTGAATTAAGTTGAAAACTTTTTTCTATAAAACTATAAATCCTGAGAGCTTCTCCGCTTTCCGCCCTTGGTCTCCAACCATATACCGTCCCCCTTCCTTGTTCAAGATTCCCATATCTGCCACTGATATGTGCCCATGCATGCTTCTAAGGCATATTCAATTGATTTAGATGAGCGACTGGTAGATTTTTGTAACAGAATTCTGGCCCTGGAATGATTAAAAAAAATTACTAACTCCAGTGACGTAGCATCATTTTTTTGAAAGAGGAGGTCAGCCAATAAAAAAAATCATTTATCCGAAAAAACTAAACAAGCCAAGAAAAAAAATGTCCAAGCCCGAAAATCCTATTTCGGGGAGAGTGGTCCAACTTCAATCAATCCTATTTTTTTCAAGATATATTATATTACCCTTAGTGGACTATATTTCAACAAGAAGTGGGGGTGGGGGGGGGGGGGCTGTACAGTTTCAATGAACATTACATTTTCTATAGAAAAGTTATGTCTGGGAAAAGAGGGGGGTTGATATTATGTGCCTGTAATTTGTTCTAATCAATCACGACCCCCCCCCCCCCCCCCTTGTTACCAGTCATTAAAACACGGTCGTCAACATTTATTATATACTAGATATACAGCTTTGAGATAATGTAAATGTATTTTTGCATCAGGTTATGAACTTGGAATCCACATGATAAAGAGTTAACACAATATAAAGATATTCTTAAATCACATAAGAAAGAGGTGGCATAACGTTATAATATATCCATATCACGGTATGGAGTTTTGACATAATGTAATAAAGTGTTGATATAATATAAAGATATGTTCACATTATGTTATACACTTTTTACACCACGTAATAAAGCACTGACATAAAGGTAAGATGTGTTCACCTCACATCATGATGCCCTCGGGGTAAAATAAAGATAAATCCATATCACGTAATAATACTTTGATACAATAGAAATATACACTCTCAAAAAGGAATGGGCTTTTGACTTCATGTGATGATAAGTTTAATTATAAAACACAATTTACTTGACGTAATGCAATTTTGACCTCACATATTAAAGAAATGAAATGATGTAAAGAAATATTCATTTCACGTAATGAAGTTTTAACACAATGTAAACACATTATCACTTCACATAATGAATTTTTTACTTCAAGTTATGAAGTGCTGACATAATGAAAGGATGTATTTACTTCATGTAATGCAGCATTGACATGATGTTAAGATATATTTTCATCATCCCATATGGACATAACGTAAAGAGATGTTCACATCACGTAATGATAAATTGACGTAATAAATGCATAGTTGTATGCTATAAGGCAGGGATGGCGTTCCATAAAACTCAGAATACAACAATATGCTGATGATACTGTCCAATCATATTGAATGATTGTTCACCAGTGCGGCGTTTGTACTCACCAGCAACACGTGGTCTGTCTAAGACTGCTTTCTGTCCTTAAAAAAAGCGTGTATTATATTTGTTGTGATTTGACCGCATGGGGTTTTATATAGGCCTACGTACATGTATAAGAAAACTCAAAGAATGGAATTAGTAAGCAAGGCTACTATGCTACTGTTATACTAATGTAGCTATCATTATAGGTTGTAAAACTTGCTTTGTCCGTCCACATGTAATTGTTGTTTACTGCATACTCGTAAACGTGTCATTCAAAACGATTGGTCAGTATTGTCAGCGGTATTGTTGGGTTCTCTAATTCATATGCAAAGTATTATTGATTCCATTGAAATCAATCGTCCAATCGATGAGTAAAATGATAATCGGCATACAAAATTTTATCATGCCCTATCAAGTAGGGCTGTATCAATATATCGATATATCGATACGTATCGATATTCAAGAAAAATATCGTATCGAAAAATTACTTCCAATAAGTATCGGACAAGCAGTTTTTCCTCTAATTCTGCTAAAAAGATGGGAATTTCAATCAGCAAAGATTATTTTTAACTTTTTTGAATTAAAACTGATCAATAATTAAAGATTTATCAATTAAATAACACAGTTTTTATAGTTATTATAAATTACATAACAACTTTATTTTAACATGTTGATTTTACAGTCATTAAAAGTTTCAATTGGAAGTGTTTTATTTACTGACTATGGGATAAGAACTTTAAAATGGGTAATAAAACACAATTTTTTTTTATGAAATCCATACATTAAGTGATTAATAAGCCTTTTTTGATGGACTTGTTTTAGAATCCAATATATCGCATATCGCTTTAAAAAATATTGTATCGTAACGTATCGAAATTTTTTGCTCAATACACAGCCCTACTATCAAGCAAACTGTCACGCTGTTTGTAAAACGATATTAAGTAGAGAAGAGAAATAAGACCGACACCGTATTACATTTAATACACATAACGCTTTATATATTCTTGCGCGATAGCTTTAACATGAACATTTTCAGTTTCACTGCAACTGCTCAACCAGTTTCAACTACATGCATAAAGCATGTATGGGTAAAGTGGGGAGATGTGAAATAACAACATTAGTTATATTTATATTAGTCAAATGAATAAGTTTAACCGCAAAGATATTGATTTTCCCCCACAATAATAGGATTTTAAGTGACCAAAAATTGTTTAGATTGATGATTAGAGTTGAAACTGGAAGATATAAAGGGGAATCATTAGAAGATAGGTTATGTAATTTTTGTTCAAAAGATGAAGAAGACGAGTACCACTTTTTAGCTCACCTGAGCCGAAGGCTCATGTAAGCTTTTCTGATCAAAATTTGTCCGTTGTCTGTCGTCGTCGTTAACTTTTCACATTTTCATTTTTTCAAGAACCACTGATCGAATTTTAACCAAACTTGCCACAAAGTATCCTTGGTTAAAGGGGATTCAAGTTGTTTAAATCAAGGACCACGCCCTCTTCCAAGGGGAGATAATTATGAATTTATGAAAAATTAATGACATCCTATGAAAATCTTCTTCTCAAGAATCACTGGGCCAGGAAAGATGAAACACATGTGGAATCATCCTCAGGTAGTGTAGATTCAAGTTTGTTCAAATCATGACCCCCGGGTTACGATGGGGCCACAATTGCCGATCAAAGTTTTACATAGGAATATATAGGAAAAATCTTTAAAAATCTTCTTCTCAAGAACCAATGGACCAGGAAAGATAAAACTCATGTGGAATCATCCTTAGGTAGTGTAGATTCAAGATTGTTCAAATCATTACCCCTGGGGGTAGGATGGGGCCACAATTGCCGATCAA